TAGGTCGTTCTGTTTAACTAGGGTTGGAATCGGGAGAGAAGCCTGAGAGAGGGGCAAGGGAAAGGAGAGTCTTTGTGAGGGGCGATCAAGGCAGGAAGTCAAGGAAGTGCTGGGCCACAAAAGAGGGGTCCTGGACATGGTTTGTGGTCTCTGAGCCCCGAAGGAGCTGAATGGCGGCCTCGGGCAGTGAGCCGCAAAGATAGGAGGTGGCAGTCAGAGTGCTGGGTACTCGGAGATCAGATTTTAGAAGCAGTGCCGACTCTGGAAAACAGTCCAAGCTATGTACTTTTTACCTCAGCCTGACAAAATCTTTTCAAATAAACACAGTGAACCGAGGTTTTAATTATCTGCTGCCAAAGTGCCAGTCACATCGCCAGTCCAAGGACTCCCTGTCTTCAGCAGCCTGCACACGGCCATGGCAGTGGTAAGCCCAGAGTTCGGAGCTGCCCTCCTCCAGCCCCCGCTGAAGCAGGCGGGGCGGCCGATTCACCCTTCATCTGTGAGGCTGACAAGCGAGGTCACAAATTCTCAGAGCTGCAAATGCTTCGTTGCTGTCCCTGTGGAACATTTTTTTCTTTTTTTTGAGTGAGACAGGGTCTCGCCATGTAGTTCGGGCTGGCCTTGAACTCAAAGTGATCCTCCTGTCTCAGCCCCCAAATGGCTGGGATTACAGGTGTGCACCATCACGCCTGGCACCTAAAACAACTTCTAAGGTAAGGGAGAATAAAAATTATACTCAGTGACTAGATGGGGACGGGAAACCCATCCAAGAAAGTTTTAAGAAATTGTCTTTGGGGGCAAGTGGAGTCACTCAGTGAGTAACCTGAGTGGAATGCAAGAGGCTGTGCCATAAGGAAGCTGATTTTATTTTCTTCAAGGATTAATCTCGCATTCATTCAACATATCACTGCACTACAATCCTAGTTCTTTTTTTTTTTTTTTTCATTTTGAGACAAGACCTAGCTAAATTGCCTGGGCAGGCCTCAAATTTGTAATCCTCTGCCTCAGCCTCCTAAGCAGCTGGGGTTACAGGCATGTGCCTGGCCAACAAATTACTGAAAACCTACTTTATGTCAGTCAACCTACTAGGTCAGTTGATTTTTGATGTTTTTGGTCTCAGGATCCCTTTACACACTTAAAAATTGAAGACCTCCCCGCTATTTTTTTTTCAGATTTTGTTGTCTTTTTTTGTTTTCTGAGACAGGGTCTCACTATGTAGCCCAGGCTTACCTTGAACTCACAGTGGCCCTACTGTCTCAGCCTCCTGAGCCCTGGGATTACAGGTGTGTGTCACCGCACCTGGCTGTTTCTGCAGATTATATCTCTGTTATTTACTATTTTAGAGCTGAAAGCTGAAGAATTTAGAAATATTCACTTAAAAATAATAGGCCCTTTACATATTAACATAAGTAACATTTTGTTTTGTTTTTGGTTATTTGAGACAGGGTCTCACTGTGTAGTTCAGGCTGGCCTTGAACTCAGTAAATCTCCTGCCTTAGCCGCCTGAGTGCTGGGATTACAGATATGTGCCACTACACCTGGTGACACCCTTGATAAACTTTTCTTGTTTAGAAAAATGTTACATTTACTTAAAAAAAGATGTAGCTGGGTGTGGTGGCACACCTGTAATTCCAGCACTCAGAAGGCTGAGGCAGGAGGGTCACTGTGAGTTCAAGGCCAGCCTGAACTACAAAATGAGACCCAGTCTCAAAAAGAAAAACAAAAGTCTTTAGTGTGCGGCTTTATGTTAAAATAATGGATGCTCATCTCTAGCTGCTTTTATATTCAATCAGTTGCCAGATCATACACCAAGTATCCTATAGAAGACTTCATTACACACTCATGAGAAAATGAAGGTGATTAAACAAGCCCAACATGATGGTGCTTGTCTGTAATCCCAGGCATGGTAGGACTGCTGCAAATTTTAGCCTTCCTGGACAATTTAGTGAGTTTCTGCTTCAAAATAAAACAAAAAGGCTTGGGGATGCAGCTCAGTGGTAGAGCACTTGTCTAGCATGCATGGTAGTGGTGGGGATAAAGCTTAGAATTTTGTTGAAAATATCTTTTATTGTAAGGACCCTTTGAAATGATTTCAAAAGAGAAGCCTCAGAGCTGGGTGTGGTGGTGCATGATTTGTAATCCCAGCACTCACGAGGCTGAGGCAGGAGGATCCCTGAGTTGAATTCGAGGCTAGTCTGGGTTACAGAGTGAGTTCAAGGCCAGCCTGGACTACATAGCGAGACCCTGTCTCAAACAAACAACAAAGGAGCCTTGAGGATGCCTAAACCACTGTGCTAAGTATTAGGATACAGCCCTCAAGGAGCTCTGTGAGCTATCAGGAGTGAACATTTACAGGATACGTAATAAAGTGCTGGGAGAGCTCAGTGAATTCTGACTTGGAAGGGCAGCACAGATTTCAAGCCTACAGTAACATTGGAGCTGGGTGAGCTGGGGTTGTAGCTCAGTGGCACTGTGCCTGCCCTGCAAGTGCAAGGTCCTGAATTCTATCCCCAGTACTGCAAAAAAAAAAAAAAAAAATTGTTTTGAGCTGGACCTTAAAGTAAAATAAAAAAAAAAAAAAAAAAAAATTGTTTTGAGCTGGACCTTAAAGTAAAACTATATTAACTTTCCTGGCCAAGAGCCAGCATGAGGAATTGTATAAAACCAGGGGTACTGAGCCCAGTTTTTTATTTTTTGGTACCACTAGGGAGCAAACTCAGGACCTTGCACTTGTGAAGCAGGCAGGGGTACTACTGAGCTAAATCTCTGGCCCATTCAGCCCACTGTTCTTTTTGGTACCTGGGATCGAACTAGGCTTTGTGCTAGTGAGGCAGGCAGCGGAACCACTGAGCCAAATCCCTGGCCCCCAGCCAGGAGTTCTTGAATGTTACCTGCACGAAGAGAAGCAGGGAAGTCGGGGGAGAGGCCGGAGGGGCATGGTGGGAGGACAGGCTGAATAGAGCCTTTGTTCTGCGGGATGTGGGAAGCAAGGGAAGACTGAAGCAGAACAGCACAGCTAACAGCTAATGTTTACGCCCCTGCGCTATCCGGGCCTGGCACTGCATTAGGGACCTAGTTCTCTCCCCAGCCCACTGAAAGAGAAATTGTCCCACTTTATAATGAAAGAACCATGCACTGGGTGTGGTGGCTTGGCCTCTAATCCCAGCAGGAGGGAGGCTGAGGCAGGAGGGTCACCGCGCGTTCCAGGCCAGCCTGATCTGCATAAGGAGACCCCTTCACACACACACACACACACACACACACACACACACACACACACACACACACACACACACACACACAAAAGGAGGTGTGGGTCCCAGTGATTAGTTTGCACACTTGATTCTCTTCTACTATGAAAACTGTTAATATATTTTTCTAAAGCTTTTAGGATTGATAAAATACGTATTTCCACATATGGATAGTAAGATATAAGGGATAAACACTACAAATGGAGCTTCTCTTGGTTTCCTGGAATAGTTTTCCCTGAACAGGCCCAGGAGCAGCTGGCTTCCCCTCTGGTGTCAGATCTGTGTTCCTAGTTACTACTACTCTCCTGACCTTGCCATTTGACTTCAGTGCTATCGATTAAGCGTTTTAGCAGAAATAAGCAATGAAAACCAAACTCACAAGAATCAAACACAGCACCTGAAACTGCCAGCCACTCTTTTTTTTTTTTCAAAGGATAAGGGTCACCTGTGCTTCCCTGTGATTCTGATTGCTCAGGAAGTAAACATGAGTTGAACGCGTTACCTGCTGGGAAAGCAGTTTGGGGGACTGAGTTTTTTTTTGGGGGGACTGGGAAAGCAGTTTGGGGGACCCTTTTGGGACTTGAGTTCACGGCCCCCATTACAGTCTTATTAGGGAGACACCACCAATTTTCATTTGTGTGGGGTCCATGTGTCAACTGATCGCTCAAAGACCTCAAACCTCGACCCCAGGCAACACTAAGAAGTAATAGAATCCTAAGGCGGAAGCTACAGGAATGCATAATTCGTTTTTCATTGGAGTTTTTCAGGCTTTTCATTTCAGATGATTCTTGTTTTAATACCAGACATATAGTTAAATAACATTACCCAACTCGTATATTAAGGATCTCCGCTCGACGGTGCACTTAGCGTTCAACGCTACTGCAACGTAGATATATAAATCCAAAATGTGCGTATAAACTTCCTCGAGGATCTGGTCCCTAAAAGAGCACGCGCGAACCCTCTCTACCTAGAGCTCCTCCCACCGCTCCCGGCCTTTGACCCAGAGGGCGGAGGGTGGGGTCTCCTAGGAGCCCGCGATCTGGCGCCTGCGCACAGCGTAGCTCTGGCTGATGCAACCTTCGGCGAGCGAACTGCTCCACGGAGAGTAAGGAAGCCGACAGGGACATCTGGCAAGCCAATCAGCGGCCACGCGGAAGTGTGAGGAAAGACCCGCTCCCCGGAGCTATGCAGAGTATTTTGAGCTGCGCCCAGCTGGTGGCGTAGACTACCGCCGTCCTTCGTCTCATCCGGTAGCTCTAGAGTCGTCCAGCCTCGGCGCCTGCTCTGCGGCCATTTTGGATTTCGCTTCCACCCTCACCCACCCGTCTACCCAGCCCGCCCAGCCCTCCCAGCCTCGCGTCGTTCCGGGCCTTGTAACGGTCGGTATCTCTGGGAAAGTGCTCGCTCCTGTAAATGTTGGAGAAGTCTCGCGCGGACTAGGACGCCTCCTTCTCTCCCAGGATGGCTCTGCCCTCAGCCGACTCCTCCTGTGCTAATCTCTGGGTTTTGTGGTCCGCGGCTCGCTGCCGACACCGCTGCTGTGTGTGGCTGCCCTGCAGGCGCAGGGACCTTCCCGGGGCGCCGATTCCGCCGCTGGGCAATACACCGCTCACCGCTGTCTTCTGCCCAGCCTGGGGCTCGGGCCGGCTCCTGGACCAAGCTGCTTTCCCGGCTCCTCGCCCGGCTCCCCAGCTTGATCCAGAAGCTGCTGATGTGGGGCCAGCTTTTCGGTGGCTTCATTCCGACCAGATGGCTCGACTTTGTCGGAGGCTACAGCATCTTGAGAGCTCTGAGGAGGCGAGAGGAAGTGCACCGCTGTCTTCTGCCCAGCCTGGGGCTCGGGCCGGCTCCTGGACCAAGCTGCTTTCCCGGCTCCTCGCCCGGCTCCCCAGCTTGATCCAGAAGCTGCTGATGTGGGGCCAGCTTTTCGGTGGCTTCATTCCGACCAGATGGCTCGACTTTGTCGGAGGCTACAGCATCTTGAGAGCTCTGAGGAGGCGAGAGGAAGTGGCCGCCCCCCCTGCGCAGAAAAAGTCCGAGAGCGCGCGGTCCCTGGACCTTTGCGACGGCTCGGGCACCAGCGCCTTCGATTGGCTGGAGGAGGGGGTCCCCTGGCAGTGTGCGGCCTCGGACCTGGGGCTGGCGCTCGAAGCCAAGACGAGGGCCTCGGACCCTTCGGCCCGTGCCTTCTTCCCAGGGCAGCCGCTGTGGGGTGTGGAGCTGTGGCCCAGGGGCCTACGGGCCCGTCTGTGCCCCGGCCCTCCGAGCGGCCCGCGCGTGGGCAGCTTCGGCGTGGTCTCCTACCTGCTGCACCCCTCCTGCCTGGACTGCCTCGGGGGCCCGGAGCTCCGCTGCCACCCGCAGCCTCTGTCCGCAGAGATCTCCGCGGCCTCGTGGCGGGGATACCCCCCTCTCTCCAGAGAAGGCCTCCCCGAAATCCACCACGTTCGCACGAAACGGCTGGAATTCCTTCAGCAGACCGGCAAGGGGCAAGAGTTACCCACGCCCGACCAGGACAATGGCTACCACAGCCTGGAGGAGGAGCACGGCCTTCTCCGCGCCGACGTGAAGCCCTGCCCGGCTGCTCCCGGGCCTGCGGGCGTCCCCGGAAGCGGCCAGGAGCCAGCGGGGGAGAAGGTACCGACTGAGGGGGCTCCGCTCGCTCTGGAAAGAGCCGGCCCTTCGGGAAGCTCGCCGCGAGTCGGGGACCCTGCCGAAGAAGAGCCCGGGGAGGACCGAGCCAGTGCAGGGGACTCCTCTGACGTAGAAGACGACCGTCCCCTCTCCTCCAGACCGGCTTGTGCTAACAGATTGATCGACTTCATTTTGGGAGGTGCGGCCAGTGACCTGGAAGCCGGCTCAGATTCGGAAGGGGAAGGCTGGGGAGAGGATGCCGAGGATGATGGTTTCGATAGTGAGGGCTCGCTGTCCGATTCGGACCCCGAAGGAGACGCCGAGGGACTTCAGCTCTGGAGTGCCTTCCACAGTGTAGATCCTTATAATCCCCAGAACTTTACAGCCACGATTCAGACTGCTCCCAGAACTGTGCCTGGAGAACCTTCCGGTTCGGGGAAAGATTTGTCTGACAAGCCTGATCTGGAGAATTCTCCCCAGGCTGGAGTGGTTCCAGAGACCCCTGACTGGGATTCTGAGGAGGAAGGTGACTGGGAATCCAGTGCCGATGAGGCAGAGAGTCTCAAGCTGTGGAACTCTTTCTGTAATTCTGATGACCCGTACAACCTTTTAAATTTTACGGCTCCCTTTCAAACATCAGGAAAAGATTTGAAAGACAGCCTTGCCTCAGAAAGACCAGCTGAGTCCTTGGTGGCCATTTCTGAGTGTCATGGCTTACTTTCTTGTAAAGTGCAACTCTTAGAGCACCAAGAAGTTGAAAGTTCAGACTTGTTACAGCAGCAGACTGTCTCTGTTGAAAAACACACATCCATCAAACGAAAAAAGGTCGGTTTCTTTTACCTTGTCTGGCAGTTTTGTTGTGTTGATAGGGTTAGATATAGCAGCATGACTTTGTTGGACGCCTAGTCGTCATATTTTTGAGAAAGACTTCCTTCTAGGGTATGTGGATTGAGAACTATTCAAATGACCTTTCCTCTTCCTCCCTTCAATGTAGAGAACTGTTCCAGTTCAAAAGGAAAATAGCAGTATATAGATCGGAGCAGGCAAGTGCCATTTTCACTTGGGTTAGTGGCTCTGAGCTGTTTTTACTTTTTTTCAGAGAACAAAAATATTAAACCTTGTGTATTTGTGACTTAATTTTTCTAGGGCTTGAGAAAGGTCTACTATAGCTATAGAGTTTTAAATGGTTGTTTGCAAATACTTGATCTTGCTTGACAACCATGTCTTCTAGAACCCAAAGAACTTTAATATCAGATACATTGTTTACTATTTATATGGTTGTTTTCGACATATCACACTTTTTGACCTTACTGACATTAGATTCTGCAGCATGAGGGAGATTAAAGTTCACTGCACCATAATCTTTTGACTTCAGATATTCCTGGGGTAGAAAATCTTTTTTCAGTGGTGGTAAGAAGACATAAGTCTTGATGTCACAGTAAAAGTTCAATTTTAGTTCACACTTCATAGATGATAGGATAAAATAACTTTATATCCTTTTTAGGAGCCCCTGACAAAATGACGTACTTTGAGTAGGAGAGAGCCCAAGTGGGGCAGTGGATGAGCAGTAGTGGTTAAGGCCAAGAGACTGGGGAGACTGCTAGACCTAAAAAGTTGCTAGACTCGTGGCCTCCATACAGTCACTTATGAGATAGTATCTGTTGTACAAATACTGTATTATTTATTGTGGGTTTTGTGTGTGTGTGTGTGTGTGTGTGTGTGTGTGTGTGTAGGATTCTACCACTGAGTTACTTCCTTGGCCCCTTGTTGTTGCAATTTAATTTGCATTTAATGCAAATGAGATTTAAATTAGACGAGTGAAACCCCTATTCTGTTGCCTTGAATTGCAAGTCTCAGTGTCTGGGCCAGTCTCAAGTCTCATTTTAGCTCATTTGAGTACAATGAAATGAGTGAAGTGGATGGGAGAATGTGTGACTATTGATTGAACTAGAAGCAAAAGTCAGAAAAGGTGATATGTATGCCTAAATTATTTGACAGGCTTTAACTACCTGCCATTCTCTAGGTATGTGGGAAAATGGGTAGTGCCTAATTCTTCAGATCTAGGAGCTTAAAATACTTCATATCCTGGCAAAAATGCAGATTGTAGAGCCAGACAGACACAGTGTTTGAATCCTGATTATATCTCTTAGGTCCTGTGTGATTTTTGGACACATCAGTTACCTTCTGTCTACACCTCACAGATTTGATGTGAGGATTAAATGAGATAAAAATTGTAAAGCCCTTTGAAAAGAGCCTGGCATACGGCAAACACTATATAAGTGTTATTATTTATTTTAGTGACACAATGAATAAGGACTAGAATGCAATATCTTGTAAGGTGTTACATCCTATTAATTGTCCTCAGGGGTATTCCTTGGCCTGATGTAAAGGGAATGAAAGTAGTAGTGCCTCAGTGGGGTTAGCTGATGTAACTGTTAAACACAGTTTAAAGCAATTCTTTACTTTTCAAGTTTGATAATTTGATATCTTCTTTATTAAAAATTAAATAGGGGAGCTGGGGATTTAGTTCAGTGGTTCCGCCGCCTGCTTCGCAAAGTGCAAGGTCCTGAGTTCAATCCCTGATACCCTTTAAAAAAAAAAGGAAACACATTTTTCTGTTTTTTTTTTTTTAAACTTTCATGTAATTTCATGTACAGGTTGAGCCTCCCTAATTGAAAATTCAAAATCTGAACTGAGTGCCAACATGATACTCAAAAAGTTTGGATTTTGGAGCATTTTTGGATTTCAGATTTTCAGATTAAGGATGCTTAACCAATAAAGGCCATGTAAATATGCCAAACTCCAAAACACTTTGAAATCTGGTCCCAAGTGTTTCAGGTAAGGGACACCCAACCTATATGTATAGTGATAGCATATTGAATTACAGTGCTTTTAAATTTTAACTGCGCAGTCTTTTGCAACACAGCCTTAAAGATACTTTACTGTACATTGTTTATGAAGTAACTTTTCTTATATTCTCATTACAAAAGTAGTAAAAAAATGATTGAAAAATTGGAAAGCACTGAAAGGTAAAGAGTTTTTTTAAAAGGAAAAGAAAGAGTAGAAATAGTAGTTAAGGCCTTTACTATGACAAAAACATTGACTTCCGGGATATGGTGGTTATTTTCTGAAATACTTTATCATTTTGGGGGAAAATATTATAGAACTATATTTACCCAAAGATTAAAGCATAGTAGGTATTAACAGTAAGAAAATTTTAGTTCCCCATCAGGATGCATATTAACACTAAAAACCAAGGACTAGAGTTGGGAAGACTTGTGTATGTGTATATTATATGAAAGATAAAGATATATGTAAATTTCAGGGCAGTTGTTCATTGTTTTATCTAAGTACCATCTGCTTAGATCCTTTTTTAAAATTTCAGATATGGTTGGGAAAAAAAATCTGGTGTTTAAAAAGAATTAGTGGCATAAAGGGCTGTTCACCTCAATGGTAATTATAAGATCTTACAGAGTTACTAAAATTAATTTTTCTCTTTATAGGTAACCTTCCTTGAAGAAGTTACTGAGTATTATGTAAGTGGTGATGAGGATCGCAAAGGACCATGGGAAGAATTTGCAAGGGATGCGTGCAGGTTCCGGAAACGAATTCAAGAAACAGAAGATGCTATTGGCCATTGCTTGACATTTGAGCACAGAGAAAGAATGTTTAATAGACTCCAGGCAACATGCTTCAAAGAACTTAAATGTTTTCCAGCAATGTTGAATTGACAGCCTGTCATCCTACCGAATGTCACCTCTTTCTTGAGAGGTTTCTTTTAAAAATAAATATTGACAGCTGTCCTTTGACCTTTTTTTTTTTTTTCTTTTTTTTTTAAGAGAAAATTTCACCCTAATCCAATGATCTGTCTACTTTAGTATTTTTTTGGTAACATATCCCACATACAAACTACAGGTTTGAACCCATCCCTGACAATGAAGGATGTGACTTTTAATCCTCTTTTTTGATTTAGTTAGATGTATTTTAAATGTCCTTTCCTTGCTTGAGATGAAAAGGGGACCTTTTGAGTTGTTAGTTTTGCACTTTCAAAACTTGTTTTCTTGGGAACAATATTTATGGGGCTTAAGGCCCATTTTCAGTTCCAGTTTAAATTATGTATATCTGTGTAAAAATTTTGGCTTTTTCCCCCCAACATTCTGCAATTAGTAAGCTGTTATTTTTCTGTATTTTTTTTTTTTTAATTTCAGTGATTCAGCCTGTCTCCCTTTAGGCTAAAATATAGTCGTGTGTATGTTGCCAACTTAAAGTATATTATCTTGTGTCAGTCTAAGACTGATTTTTGTTGAAATTATATTGCGAATTTCTTTTCTGCATTAAGTTGTCCTTAGACTTCCAAGGTCTGCTGCAGTGTCCACACGTGCAGCGCTCTCTGGGAGTTTGGGGAGACTGCATCTTTCTGCCAAGTTTTAAATATCAGATATATCTGATTTCTGTGCAAGCTGCTCTATGGAGAGGGTTCTGAACATGTAGTTCATGAGTGAATGTAGCTTTTTGTATCTTTCAATGGGCAGGAATTGTAAAACACTCTAGAAAAAGTAATCTTTGTAGCATAGGCATTTGTTGTTAAAACTGAAAGGCCTGGAACTTTCCTAAGAGGAAGATAGGAGACAGTGAGAGTAGTTTGGTTTTGCTGTCTGTGTGCAACAGAAAACCAGTGTTATTAACGTGCCTCAGCACTGTCACTTTTCAAACCTGTCAGGGTGGCGCTGTAAACTTGGAAGGGGGCGGTTCTGGATTTTCAAGTTTGAAATGTAAAATACTAATTAATTAGAGTCAGTGTCCAAGTTTATTGTGTTCTACCATTTTAACAACCAGAGAAGGAATGACAAGGCTCATACTTTCAGGAAAGGAGAAACCACAGATCTAACCACTAGAGAATCTTAATGTCTTTAGCCCACAGTTTACTTTGCATCGAAGTCTTAGCATTGACTGGTCATGCTGGGTGTATGTGGTTAGATCTCACATGGCATGTAACTGTTAGGTTGCAGGAATGGTAGGCAACTCTCAAACATCCTCCGTGTGCCTCTTGCCGCAGGCTGTGGAACGTGACCGCTTGGTTTTGAACTTACTTCATTGTGAGGATGCGTGTTTCATCAGACGTGCTGGCAGGTTACTACCTCAGTTTATAATCTACCTGGTCATTATCTTCTTTGGTCTGCTCTGAGAGCCGCCTCCAGTGTTAGGTGCATTCAGTGCTACACACACTGAGAGTGCAGCCCCTAACAGATCTGCTGCAGAGCCCTAATTCTGTGTGTTTTGGGCACTTCCACTTCAGGCCTCTGCATATTGGAAAATAATGGGATATCTTTGTATTCACTGGACTTCATGGGAATCCACCCTCGCAACCTAATGCATAAAACCTTGCTTAGGAATTCTCCCCTATACCACCCTGCCGTGGATGCGATCGGACAGTGATAAAGACAGGGATTCTTTACAATTGTTCTGCAGGGAGGAAAGGTTGATGGCACTGTCACCCCACCTGTAAATGTTCGAGTGACATCCACCCCTAACCCTCAGCCCCCGCCAATCTTTAAAAGCAAATCCTGGGAGGTTTTAAGTAAACACTTCACACAGTCTAGTCTCATAATGGTGCTTTCAGCGTCAGTGTAGCGTGGGAAAGGAAGCGTGTGGACGGGTGGAATCTGCGTTTCCGATTGGTGAAATGTGACGACGCCTCTTCCTCTGTAACTTGAAATCAAAACTCAGATTTTATTTTTTATAATTTAAGGAAGGTGAAGTTAGGGGACTAGAAACTTTAAATCAGCCTCTTCAAACCAGTTTGTTGGGATTTTATAGCTAAAATTCTATTTGTGTATATAATTTAACTAATCTGTAAATTGTAATAAATATATTTGCCATTATTAAATGTTACACGATATCTTGGTTCAAGTTTATATTGTATGCTTCATAGTATTTGACATTGGTTTTGGAATTGCCGAGCAAGAATTTCCCAAAAAAAAGTCATTTTTGACTTGATTTTGTGGAGTGCTGGACAGATTCTGTGACATATAAATTCTACCTCAGCTAATGAGGGGAGAGTGGTAAGGAGATAAAAATATAATTTCAGACCACATTTAGTAATGAAAAAGAGAGCTTGGTTCTTAAGAGTATGGAAGTCTTTTCTAGGAGTTGAGATTTAATTACAAATTTGGCCCTAGGTCTCCAGTGCTATTGCAAAGAAAACAGGTGCATTATTCACAGGAGCAGTAAAATTCATATGGGCTTAGTGTAGCATTTTCAGTAAAAGGGAAATGTGTTTTGTGCTCTCTTTTTTTTGGTACTGGAGGTTGAACTCCAGACTTTGTGCTTGCAAGGCCAGCAGCAGAACCACTTAGCTAAATCCCTAGCCCTGTGCATTGTTATTTATGATAGCATGGTATTGTAAATCATGGTGTTTTTCCATTTATGAAATTAAGTAGATGTGGGTGTAACATCAGAAAAAAATCCCAAACTTTTTATCCTGAAAAAAATGTAGGTTATAGCAAGCCTATTGTGTTAAGGGTTAATAACATTTGAAATTGGGTGTGGTTGTGCATGCTTGTAATCCCAGCCCTTGGGAGGCTGAAGCAGGAGGATCAGTGTAAGTTCAAGGCCAACCTGGGCTACTTGGAAGACCCTGTCTCATTAAATAAATAAATATAAATAACAACAACAACAAAAAAACATTCTTAATACAGGCATTTGGGTCTTCTCAGCTAATGAAAAATAGTTTCTGAATTGGAAAGAAGTAGAACTTGGAAATATTTGGTATTTTGAAAAAATTGAATTGACAGTCGTAGATTGTGACTTTACTTATATCTTGGGTTAATTTAAGGTTTTTAAAAAAAATCTCCCTGGGAAAATAGCTGTATTTATGTCAAGCCAGGCTTATTGCTGTGCCTGTCCTGACATCCTATACAAACTGTGCTTTCCTATATTACATTAATAGAAAGTTTAAAACAATGCTAATTTCAGAAATTTCTCTCTCACATAGGGATTAGAGAATTTCCTGGTCTCTGGCATTCTCCTTTGGAGGCTTCTTCAGATGCTTTGTCTGTCTCCTTTTTTTGTGGTGCTGGGGACTGAACACAAGGCCTTCGCACTGAGGCCCCGCCAAGTTTATTTTGAGACAGATTCTCATTAAGTTGCCCAGGCTGGCCTTGAACTTTAGATCCTCCTGCCTCAGCTTCCCTGAGTGCTAAGATTACTGGCTGCATGTATACACTGATAAAGGGATTATTAAACAAATCTTCATTTTTTTTTCCCTCATAAGATGCATGTTACTTACAAAAGTAATAGAGAATGGAGACACTTGATACAATTTTTAAAATGTGTGCTGCCCAGATGCTTTTAGAGCTGAGAAGTGCAATATGAATGTCTCTGTGTAGAAATGTCTTCATACTGAACCAGCCTCTCAGTCTTTTGGGTGAAAAATGTCTCTGAGTAGACTGGCATGGTAGAGTCAGATACAACCTGATCCGTGTTATGTACATGCTCGCGCGCACACACACACACGCGCACACACACGTATTCATGCTCCTTCATTACATGAGTGATGACAGGCACCATACTTCTTGGACTGTTTCTACACGGGTGATCAGGCTTCCTCACTTATGGGCTGGACGCAGTGGCACAGCCTGCAGCCCTGAGGCCAGAGGATCACAGTTCGAGGCCAGCCTGGGTTGCACACTGAGAACCTGGCCCAGAAAACCAGAGAAGGGGATTCTCTGCTCGTGAACTTGAGTGACCTCCACTACGCTAGGCTGCCTTCCTGGCCTTGCTCCATGAGACTCCCTCAGGGATGACTTCGGTGAGCAGGGGCAGCGTGGGCTGAGTAGCTATAACAGGCGCAGCGAACAGGCGGATCTCTTCTAATCCTGCTGCTCTGAGGATTCATCGAGCGAGACCTGTGGTGCTTCAGTTAACACGTTCCGGTGGCAGGGCTGACGTGGGATCTCAGGAGAGGTCACTGCCCGGCGTGGCCAGTGCTGGGATGGGTCTGCGTATCACCAGGTACAGCAGTGCCTCACCACCGGCGGACTCCTTGATCTCACAAGGGAGAGGCAGGGTCTGTGGGCAGTGATTGCTGGATTGGGAGGGTCCCAGAGATCGGATGAGACTGGCGGTGTATTCGCCATTAAGGTCTAGAAACTTGAACTGTTCCCGGAGGCATTGGAGCAAATTTTCAGGTTGTTTTCTTTAAATCTCTTTCCTTCATCTCAGTAACTATTCCAATTTCCTCCTGCCTTTATTTGCTTTTTTTTTTTATTCTTTCTTTCTCTCTGTCTTTTTTTTTTTCAGGATTGGAGATTAAAACTCAGGGCCTTCACAGTAGGCCACATACCTAGCCCTTTTGAAATTTCTTACATTTGAGACGGTCTCACCAAATGGCCAAGGCTGGGTTTAAATTTGGAGTCCTGTCTCAGCCTCCCTAGTGCTGGGATCACAGGTGTGCGCTGCCACGCCCGGCTATGAGAAAGTATCACAGGCTGCTTCCCGCAAAGCAGCTGCTGTAGTCATCTACAATAATAAATGTGAAGAGGTTGCCAGCCACAGTGACTCATCCTGGCACTGGAGATACTATCGCTGTCATGACAACAGAATCGAAGGGCAAGGATATTCTGAGTTACCTGGAGCAAAACATCGTACAGATGACCATTCCAATACCACTGAAGAACCTCACTGTAGCTCTCTAATCCTCCCATCAGTATCCTGCATTGTTTTGATGATCGCTTTTTCAGCATGGTTCACATTCCAGTCCTTCAGAAGATCCGGTACACAAAGCTGGGTGTGGTGGCACACGCCTATAATGCCAGCACTAGGGAGGCTGAGGCAGGAGGATCCCTGTAAATTTGAGACCACCCTGGACTACATAGTTCCAGGTCAGTTTCAACTACTTAGTGAGATCCTGTCTCAAAAAACCAAACCAAACCAAAACAAAACAAAACCCAAAAAACAAAAAAAAGAGCTTTTGCAGGCTGGGGAGTTAGCTCAGTGGTTCCACAGCCCACCTCAAAAGCACAAGGTCCAGGGCTTGATCCCTAGTACCAAAATAAATAAATAAATAAAATAAAATGCTTTTGCACAGCAAAAGAAATCAGAGTGAAGGGACAGCACACTGAGTGGGAAAATTTTTTGCCAGTTGTTCCTCAGACAAAAGACTGATACCTAGACTATATAAAGAATTGAAAAAAAATCCCCCAGTTTAAAATGGGCATCTGAGATGAATAGACACTTCTCAAATGAAGACGTAGAAATGACAAATAAATATATGAAAAAATGTTCACATCACTGGTCATTCGAGAGATGCAAATTTAAACAACACTGAGATTCCACCTCACCCCAGATAGAATGGCTGCTATCAAGAAATCAAGCAGGCCAGTGGTCTAGCTCAGTGGCACCGTGCCTGCCTCATAAGCACAAGGTCCTGAGTTCGATTCCAGCTTTTAAAAAAATAAATGCTGGCGGGGCTGTGTGGAAAAAGGAACCCTTCTCAACTGTTGGTGGGAGTGATCGACTCCCAAGGGCTGGTTGTAACTAAGTCAATGCAGCTGAGATCTGGATGTTTACCGAGGTACACACTCTAGATAACAAGAGGCAGATGAATCTTCCATTAACCTCATGAGCCCAAGTTGTTCATATGTCAGGCTGGTTGTAACTTGAAGGTTCACTGTATCTTAAAAACATCGTACCACAGTGATATACACACACCCATGTTTATAGTGGCAGTTTGTAATAGCTAAATCTTGGAAACAGCCCCAAATGCTTGCT